TCACCGAACGATACTGGGAGGAACTAGATGGTGAACGCCTACGCTTGAGTGTACAGGTCGAATTCTTACGGTCGGAGTTGTTAATAGACGAAATCCACGATGCTCGGTCGACCAATCCGTTTATGGGGAACTCTTCTACAATGAAATATTTGGCCGGTCGGTGCGAAGAAGATGATCGCGAACGACTACGTTTTAACGCACCGGTAGGGTTTACATGTTCAATACATATAGAAATCCAAGACCGCCAACGTCCGACCGCCAAACTTTCCGTTCTGGGATATTTGAATGGACGACTCGGAGAACTCGACTGCAATCGACCACGCTTCTGGGGTGATGTACGGGTTAAGCTTGCATCACAATAACTCCCGGCAAAAGTCTTCATATTCCGGCGTTCGACTTCCCGGTCCTCGCAGTGATATTCGACAACTTTATATTTGTTCGGTCGACACGGGGAGGAGCAGGATTGCGAAGAACTACGTTTTCCCATCGTCTGTGCTGGTATTTACTTGAAAAAAATATATTTAATAAGCATATAAATTTAACACTCCATTGTTTATGTATGTAGTTGTTTATTTATTAATTTTGTTGTGATTTAAACCGTATAATAGTATAATAGTATAATTGTATTAATATACAAACAGATACATACTAATGCTGTAAGATGTTGGATGTCAATCGTACAACGCCGACACCGTCTTGAAACGAAAATGAAATTGAATACAAATGATTACAATAATGAAAGATGTATAATATTTTAATAGGAGCAAGAAAAAACGTTGTTTAGGTATGTTTAGATAAACTACGAATGCCAAAAGTGGAATAACGATAAATTAAATACGGTATTTCGTTGTTAAGGAACTGCATATGCACAACGACGTATATAAAGTTACAAATGTAAATCAATAACATGAAACAAGTTTTTAAATGTGGCCAACAATCAACAAACGTAAAATATTACTAATTTAAATAGTTTGCACAAATATTGACTGATATCAAAAAGAATAAGGTTTTTGTACCTTTTTGTGGAGGACATATAATTCCTCTTAATATATTTTTTTTTCGATAGGTTGAAATATGTATCCATAGATTTTAATTTTAAATTTGGAAAATTTGTCAAGATATGCAAAATAAGCATAAACATTTTAAAATATGCACTCTCCTGCAAAATCTATCAAATATGCAAAAATATGTACATTCAAATTTTAGTTCTGATACCATGGCACCGAGAAACAAATTTATTTCGCACTCTGCTATATTTAACAATAATTAAAAAAAGTATACAAATCCTAGAAGTCCCTAAGCCTACTTATTACTTATAAATAAAAGTAATATTATGTATTTATGTATTTACTTCTATAACTCTAGACACAATTATGTTATACTTATGTACTTATAATTATAATGTACATTTGTATTTTAATAAGTTATTGATTTCAATAAAATTAACAAACACTTACATAATTATAAAGAAAAATCATTATTTATAATGCGTTTAAAAAAATGTCCAGTTTTTTTTATAAATTAAAATTCTTAAGGACGCATTTTGAAGTTTTGCCTCGGGCGCAATATTTGGTTACTACGGCCCTGATATTTCCTCGTGTGATAATAACATGGCTGATGATCAATCAGCGTTGATCAAAAATAATTACGATCAACGTTACGGGTGCGCGCGCACACGTTACCCAACCTGTCCGTTTTCCCTATTATTAATACTAATATTTCATTGTCTACGACGCAAAATAATGTACTTATTAATTATTATACGGTCGCAGCTGCGGTACCGATGGGTTTCGCTTGTTGGTTTTATTGCAACGCTCGGAGAATAGAAACCCTACCACGAGAGGTGCGTAAGCGGGTCTGACACCTGTTGGCTGCCGACGGAGAATATAACAATCATAATTCGATCGCAGTCGATTCGTAGTGCGCAGCTGCGAGTCCGGGCACCGATGAACGACAGCAATCAATTGCACTTGGTACGCAGCCCTGACAATCGGGTGCGGGGGACTTCGCACTGGCATTTTATATATATTTTCGGATCCCCAGAGGTAGCTTGTGCCAACGACGTAGTGAGAACGAACAATTTCGGTACAAGATTGACTAGACCGGTTTTCCGGTAAATCCTGATATTTTTCTTAATTCAGTTTTCGCGTTTTGAACAGCAAAATATTGTGGTATTCCATTGTGTACGACTTATAATACAGTTTTGTTAACTACGCATATTTTCTAATAAATTGATTTTTTTAATTACAATAAAGGATTTCACATTGTTAAACCCAAAACTCGGTTATCGATATCCGATAGTCCGGTTTTCGGATTTAAAATTCCCGATTTTTTAGCCTGAAATCCGGATTTAATATCACTATCGTTAACCATAAAAATGTATTCCAGTTCCTCGGTTTGCCACGGCATCCAAGTGTCCCAAAAGTATCTGGTAACTTTATCTCAAACTATGATTTTACATATTTGGTTTATTACCCTCCCACCCTCAACATATGACATATGTAGACTTTGTCCCGAGAACCCATGCAGCAAATTATTCAGAACAAACTCAAAATTTTCAAAATACTCTAACCAATAATTATTCGTAGATTCAGTTATTTCAGCCAGTACATTATTTATATGTATTAACTATTATTACCTGGTCATCGGCTTCTAGGTCGATGAAAATAAAAAAACAATATTAATAAACACTGAACATTTTGTTATCTGCAATAAATTACTACACAATTACAGAAAATTATTATTTTTGAACAAAAAACTAGAAATACATTTTAAAAAACATGATATTAATTAAATACAAAATAGCCAACTGTAAAACAGTGATATTTAAAGCTAAATTGGTTTCAGTACCTGAATATAATTTTTTAACTGGAAATGTGCATGTTTTGAAAACAATTAATCGAGGTTAGGTGATATAGCTATTGATTATTTAATATATATTTATTGATAAAGAAAATATTATGCAATATATTTGAATGTGATAAAAAATAAAATTAACAATTATTATAGTTGTATTCATGACAAAATATAATAGTAATTTTATCTGTATAACAAACATCTGCATTAATCTAAATGTTTAAAAAAATAAATTTTAAAGGATTATATGAACTTAAATATAAATAATATTAATAACACTAAATAAACATATATATATATCAATTGTTAACATTTCAACAGATCCATATTGGCAATAATAATGATATTAATTAAGTTTAAAACAATTAAAACTAATAACAATATTTTTCTAAATAAATTTAAATGCTTTAGTTAAACTCTTACAATAATCAACATGATACTAAACAATAAAAAAATATATAAAAGAAGTGAATTTTTTGTTTAGTTATGTGTACAACAAACAATAATTTAAAACATAATAAATAATAATACTTTGTAATTGCTTTGATGATATATAATATGATTTTATCACAAATGGTGTTTGTTCTCTAACTTTAAGAGATTCATAAGTTATTGAAATGAGTATACTGTTCAGCAAGTTTATTTTAGTTTATCATTCTAAGAAATATTTACAGCTTCTTTAAGGGATCAAGACTTTCTAATGAAAAGTCTTCAGTGCTCATTGATAAACCACGACTAAAACCATCCTGTAATCCAAGTAATATTTAAAATTTTATTTAATTCATTAATAACTTTCTGATTGATTTAAGCAATTATACCTTCATTTCTTTAATTCTCTTATCTAACAAACCAATGTCACTTTCAACACCACCATTCTGTACTCTTTGTCCAAAATCATCCATACCGAATGGATCACTGTTTGATGTTCTTGGTTGGCCAGCTGGTCTTGGCGTTGCTTTGAATGGACTCAAACCAAATATGTCATCAGAATTCTGAGAACGACGTCCTGTATCTCTAACTGGTTTAGGAGGAGGAGCCACTAAATAAAAAATAAAATGTGTAGTAGAAAAATAAATAATTATAGAATATTGAGTGCCAAATAAAAAACTTACATAATGGAGGCGGTGTAGGAGAGGTAGCGTTACTGCTATTTGTCCTGGGCCCAAAGTTGTTTTCCATTTCATTTAGCAAAAGACCTTCAAGGCGTGTACCAACAATGGGAGTTGGTTTCGTCTCACTGTGTGATGAACTAAAATTAATTAAAAATATTTGTTAACAAAAAATACATGCTTTGTAATTTGTAGTAGCTATACTATATAGTAGTATCAATTATTATTGATATATATCAATATATATAATATATTGTTATTTTAAATGGATTTATAATACAAAACAAGTTTTTAATTAAACTGTTTATATACTTAAATTATTTTCTTAGATAATTCATAATTATTTATTTGTAGTCATTGTTTTTGTTTTATATTATTAGGGATTGCTTGTAGTTGATGTAAAATCAACTTTTTTATTATTATCCCAAATAATTTAGACTAACCTTAAATTGTCATCATTGTTATTAACACTTCTTGGTGGTACCGGTGGTGGTGATTGACTAGCCAACTGAGTACCATTGGTCAGATTAATAAGGGTAGAAGGATTACCATTATTTACATCATTAACTTGTAACATATCACTGATGCCATTTTGACGCATATATTGCTCAACATCAATCTATATTAGTAAAATATTAAGTCAAAATTTGTTAATTAAAATACTTAACATAATATTTTTTTTTTATTACTTTTCCAGAAAGGGCATCAGATAACCTTTGTCGCAAAACACTATTTTCATTTTCCAATTCCTTCACACGTTGTTGTAAAACCATGACTTTGCGTTGAACTTCCATGTCTAAGAAACGTCTAAGCAAAGGAAAAACAATCCGATTTGAAGGTTTTAATCACGTTTATTTACATCAATATTGTTAATATTGATCAGCATATAGCATATATATTAAGTAACATGTTAGCTGTAGTATTTCCCAATTATAATCATAACTAAACACATATTTATAGTGTAATGATCAATTTATTAAAATGTAGGTATAATAATTAATCAACATGATTTTATAAAAAAATAAATATTAAATCTATAATTAAAAATAATCTTAATGAGAATCAATGTCACATTTCAATAGCCTTTTCAACGATAAACAATTATTAGTTCTAAGTCGTTTAGGTTCGCTTATATCAGTAATTCTAAATTGTGAACATCCTATGACTTCGGAATCTGATCCCATTGCCAAAGTAGGTTCATTAGAGTGAGGTTGATTTCGATTCACCCATCTCTCCAATATAGATTCACCTTGCTCAGTTTTGTCTTTACTCATTTCACCACAATCAATTTTACAAATGTCAGCAACACCTTGTAAGACTTCTGGTTCAAAATTATCCCAATCAAATTCTACCATAGTTTTATCTCGTCTTATTTCACTATTGACTTCCATCAATGGACAGTTAATATCTGTATCACTAAAGTAATCTGACATTTCATTATCTGAATAATGTTTGAACTCAACTATTTCATATTGTTTTTGTTCAATTATATTGTAATCTAATGATGCCCATCGGTCATCATCATTTGTGTAACGATCTAAAACGATTCGTCCACCTCTACCATATCGTGGTCTACATAAACCCAAAGATTTATGATTTCTATTTTTTTGAATATAAACTGGTTGAAAACCAAATGTCTGATCTATAGGTTCAGGAGAATTAATGGGAGCTAAGTAAGAACAATGCTTGTTTCGACGGAAAGTCCATTTACCACCACCGTCTTCAACATTCTGAACTTTATGTGGAGGAGAGTACAATTCTTCATCAGAACTTAAATGCCCTATATCATAGGACTTATGTTTTCTTTTTCTATAATGTCTTTTTTCTCTCTTTGCTTCCTGGTATTTAGTATTTGTAGAATTTTTTTTCATATCTCCTTGTTTCCACATTGATGACATATAATGGTTAGTTGAAATTGGTGTAAATGCTTGCCGCACAGTTTTAACAAATTCTACATCACTATAAATAAGACCATCAAAGTCACGTAAATCATATCGTTTTTTGTATGTTTCAAGAGTTATTTGAACTAATTTCTTTTTACACATTTCTCGTTGTTGTATTATTACAAGTAATTCTAATGCTCTACTTAAATTTCTTCGTAATTTCAACATTTTTTCATAAGATGCTTCGTCATTTTTACGATTTTTTCTAGTTTGAATTTTATCACGTCTTTTTCTAAAAGCTACATATGAATCATTAGGAGGAGCACCAGCTATAGGTTCAGTGCGTACAACAGGAGATAAAGTATGACCAAGACGTACTCTTTTCCTTAACCAATAATCATATATTAATAAAATAGTATCTTCATCATCTTTAGTTAATGATTTAGCATCTGATAAATCAATTATGTTGTATGTACTGTGTTTTTCCCATTTGTCAACAAGTTCTTCAAGTTTATCAGCTGTTATACTATTTGATCTTCCAATAGTTTCTAACCATTCTAAGTCTTCGGAATCATAGTCATATTCTGGAACATCTTGTTCCATTGTGAAAGGTGTTATATGAATAAGTTGTTTTGGAGGATAACAATTTGGTGGGTATGTTTTATCATGCCATTTCAAATCTTCACTTATTAATCTAGATACTTCAGGTGTGGGTATTACACTTCCAGCAACCATGGCACGTTGCAAATGATGCTCTGACTCTTCTTCTTTTTCCATACCACTGGGCATTTGGGGAACAGCGCGTTTTAATTCTGTACACTCGTGCAGATCAGGCAAATCATCAGACATATAGATTGGCAGAGGTTTTGAAACATCCAACTGCCGAGCTCTGAAAGTCGGCTTGTTCGTCGGCTTGCTGGGCCACCTACCACAATAACAATCCGACATTACTATTTTCCTTTAAAAAAACTATTTTACTTTACAAGGTGATCAATGTATGTAGCCCAAAAATAATTGTTTAGAAAGTAAGTAACTATTTTATTCATAAACAATTTCACTGAAAGTTTGACATAGTATTGCCTGCTTAGTAACAAATTATGTTAACTAATATTGTAAGCAATTAGATGATCTACTTCAATAAATTGCAATAATTTTGTTATATGAAGCTTGACCACCCTGCATTATCTAATCTACTAGTACAAAGTACTTTTCTTTTTTATTCTTTCTACTAATTAAACAATTCTAAAAGGCACGACTTCAGTAGGCTAGACAGAGTTCGGCATTTGAATGTTTTCAACCGTGCAAATAATTTAACATCATTAATTATAACACACTATTGTTAAATTATCAAAACTCATGCAACTACATATATTCATTAATAAAGTAATTATAAAATTAGTCGCCATTATGTTGACAACTGACAAAAAAAATTATAAAAACTGCAAAGAAAAACCCTACTGATTTACACACAATTTTACTAAAAAAAGACCACTGACAATTAAGTCTCAGGTAAGAACACAATAAATTAGCAAAATAAAATTCATACAAATATAAAATTAAACAAAAATTTCTAAAATATTTGCAATCTGATGAATATCTAATAGTTAAATAGTGATATTGTAGACAGTAGATTTTCAATCGAAAATGTCAGTTAAAAATTTAATATAAAATTACATAAGACAGGTTATAATATAGAAATACATAAAATAGTGTTTAATATAATTCTAATATATTAATAGAATACTCTACCAAGTCCAGTTGTATTATAGTTATAGTTAAAAAGCATCAAATATCTAGAAAAAATTAAACAACACACACAAACACAAAATTAAAAAAAGAAATTGATACTTAATAACTTTATATTAAATAATAATTTAAAACTGGAGACAAATAGTATTAAATAAAAATGTATAAATTATTAAGATTAATTATCAAGGAATCTGAAAATTTAATTTGCTACACCAAATATATTAAATGGATTTAAAGAATATAATTTAAATAGAATTTAATGAATATTTTTTTATTTTTATAAAACTACTAAAAAGATAATCAATTAAATATTAAATTTGCGAGCAAATAACTGAAGATAGTTTTAAGCTAAATTTTAACATACTTGTATGCTAGATCAAAAGCTTGCCCAATGCTAAGGGTGATTTCTTCAGCTAATTTGTCACTCATGAATACAAAACATGTATGTCGTTCAGATTCATTTGAGTCTTTTACAATAAAGCTGAAAAATTGTTTGTCCACTTTATCATCAGCACAATAAGAAATTCTGTGCAATGGATATTGATGCATTATTACCTATAGGAAAAATAATAGGCATTTATACGAATTTTAACTCAAAAGAAACCAATAACAATAGTAATTCTACTTTTGTCTTTGGATCTTGGAGTGCAACACCTTCAACACTAATTGTAAGTTCAACTTTTGGTACTTTAGAACCCTCAGCTTTTCGGACTTGTTGATTAAATTTTAACTTTCTAATAGACTCTTTGATAACATTAAAACCTTTTGGTTGGTCTACATCAACATTTCCCAAAAACTGTAAATTAAAATTATTAAATATGTGTACTGCTAATATTTTAAAAACCTAATTAATACCTTAACGATGTAGGCAATATGACCTTTTTGTAGCGCTTCAGGGGGATGAATCCAGTTTCGATTTTCTTAAAAAATATAACCATAAAAAAAACATATTTTGTGACTGTCAATTAAAGTTAACTTACCTCCTCCTTTGGCAGATTTGTTGTTGGAGTTCTGAGTCCATTTTAAAAGATTTCCAGTATTTCTCATGATTATTTGTTGATATATTATTGTGGGATGAATTTCTGAAATTAAAAAAAATTTTCAATTATTAATCAATTACATTCAAATTTAATAACAATGGTCATTTATTTATTCAATTAATTTTGACATGTTACATGTGAAATATAATTAATCAATGAATATACAGAATACAAATAATGCACAATGATACTACATAATATCAAGTCACTTTATGTAAGTCAACAAAGACAACCAGCTCATAATAGTCCTTTCAGGTCATATTTATGCCTACTATGTGGGTCGATAACAGGATGTTGTAAATATACAATTCATTACAATTACTATAGGTAGAACATTCTACTGCCAAAGATCCTTAATAGTATATACATTTCTCACTAGATATCAATACTTAACTTATTTGATTTGAAAATAAAATGTTATGTTATCAATTTATGAGAGTATTAGGTTATTTAACCAATTCCTAAAAGATAAAGTAAAATAAAATAATATTGATAACATATTACAATAAATTATAACAAGTAGATGATAATGAATAGGTTTTATCGAACTGTAATCAAATAAAACGTAGGAAAATGAAAATTTTTATACTACATTTTATACTTCTAAAATAACTTTAAAATAGTTTTTGGGGCACCAAAAAAAAAATATTTTTTAATTCCTGCACAGTGTACTAAAAACTTGACAAGGTCACTAGACGATCCACGCTAAACGTAATAATAAACAACACCCTGACCGTTTTACGTTCACTTATCGCGTTAATGATAAGACGGCAAGTCCATAATAATAATAATAGTAATAATAATGGTAGACCATTTATGATAAACAAAAATAAAAATCGTAAAAATAATAGTAATAATAAATATAATAATAATAATCATAATCATAATAATAATAATAGTACAATAACTATTAACAGAATTATTACGGGCGACGACTTGTGGGAAACGGACCGGCGCGTGAAAAATGTCGGCGACGGCAACGAGACAAAAGACCATTAAAATGTGTTTTGCTTACGTAATGCGACGGGAGCGAAACACGAGCTTCTTGTCTATCGGATATGGCGGAAAAACAGTTTCGGATTTGTTGCGAGCCTTTAACGGTCGTAACGAGCGACGTCGTCGGAAACGGTTGACGGCGACGGTTTCGGCGTGCGTCCACGCGAGTGTGAAGGCGACGGTTTAACCACGGATTAAACGGCGTTCGGCAGCAATAAACACGTACGAGAGCGCCATTTTGACGATGTGCGGCGGCGGGAATGCTGGTTTCCCGGGCGCGAGGAGTAGGGGGACGACAGTGATAGTGAACGTGCCCGCGCGCGCGATCGCCGCGGCGGGGTTCGATCGGACGGTGGAGCGGGGGAAGAGCGAGCCAAAACGGGAATTTCAAAACAGGCGTGGCATCCCGCCATCGTGGTCGAAAACGTGATTGTTTACAACGTCTTTGGCGGAAACGGCGCCCGCTAAAACGTATATTACAGCGGGTACAACGGCATTACGACACGCACAATTCTCTTTGTTCGCAAAGAAATGCATGTTTTTCCGTCGAAACCGCGTAATGCCAACCGAAGTGTGTTACCTTCGTAGGTCGCATATGATGCTGCAGTCACGCTGATGAAAACTATTCACGATGGCTAATGAAACACCACTAGAAGTCTGTTACTTTCTATTTATTTTGTTTATCATTTTGTTGAGTTGGTCGTTAAGCTTGACAGCGTTATCCATTTAAGCAATAATTGTTGCGTGTTTCGATTTAATTTGTAATGGGTTGACGATATCTTACACGTTTCAGTACACTCAGCTATTCATCGCAGTTTGATGATAAAAACGCGTGCATTTTTTTCTCAACTACACATTTCACGTATTCGTTTTCGTTAGAAAACCATGTCACTTATTAATTCTTGCCGGTGCGATAGCACCCACAAGCTTTATTGTTTTGTTTCCGATTTGGTCTCCGTAAAGGATAAATTTCGAATTGATCCGATAAACTCAATTATTGAGGGACAGATACACATGACTGATTCGACTAAGCATTGCCTTTAGAATACGATAATGAACTTATTTGATAACCCGGATATTATTTGTTATTGAGTCATAAACTGCTCTCGGGTTTCTGTACTTGTTTCCGGAACACGGGTTTTACTTTCTCTGCAAATGTTATCATTGTGTTCGGATAGCAGCTGGATATCTTCTACGCTTGAATTAAGAATTTTGAAGAAATGTTCTCAATTCGATTACTTAATGTTGTATATCTTCTTTATACCTGCAACGTCTATGTAATTTATTATACGAGTAGTATCATGTTATATGCTCGAGATTTTTAGTTTGTACAATAATTGTAATTTTAGAGATTTTTTTGTTTGTAATTATTACAATATTATGTATAAATATTAGGGTGGTCTTTATTTATATATATAGGTGGAATATTTAATTTTGAATAGTTAAAACATTACTCCTTAATTTGTTAAGTCGTATATGTAAATAACTTAGGTGACATTTGTAAGGTCTCACTCAACCCCTTCTGGTACCACATTAGGGTTGAAATATGGCAAAAGATGGTGATTTTCTTAATTTCTTTATTTAATTCAGAAAGTATAGGATTTAGCAAGAACATGGAAATAACTTAATGATATATTTTAATATTTTGTATTGTAAAGCATTCCACGTAAATTCTCATAAGTTAATTTTTTTAAGAAAAATTATGAAATATCAAAATATTGAACATAATTATCGAAATCGAATTTTTTCGGTTTTTTAAATACACAGAACATTCAATTGGATGTATAATAAAATAGCTTGTATAAAAATTAACCTATCCTACATGGCTCTATGTGATATTTGTGTATTAATACATCAAAATCAATATAAATGACTCTGATACTTATAAAAGTAACATTCTATACAATACAGTCTATAATGAAATCCAAGATAATGGGTATCACCTGTTTGAGTAGACCATAAACTTTTTTTCACTAGAAAATGTTATATGTAAATTTTTCCTGAAACAATAGGTGATAACGATTTGTTTCTATAAAAATATAGCCATATCCGTCGTTACAACGAAGTATTTTGATTTCTGCAGTATTTATTTAATTTTGCCACGAGTTTCAATTGTTTTACTAGTTGTAGTAACACTAAACAGTATCTTGTATATTGCATTCAAGATAGTAAAGTTTATAAATATTTAAAATTTTTAAAGAAAGCTACTATGACGTAGTAAAAGATAAAAATCATGTAGTATAATTTTAATGTAAAGCCAGTTTCGGTCTGTTCTACCCGGATATCCGGAATTTTCCAGGAGCCCTAAGATTTATTCATAAAATAGAGACTCAACCAAGGGTGGATCCACAGTTAGAGAATTTTGAGTCAGGATATTTCAAGAGGCCACTTATTGAAGCTGAATGTGTTTTATAAATTTATTCTTTGGTAACAAAAAAACAATATTATCATATACTATTTGTTTTTTAAGTTTATTCATAATTATCATTGTAAACAGATATCTTATTTTCTGGAATCTTTTATGGAGTCTGACATAAAGATGTTTTATTTTAATATACAATTAAACTATTGGCGTCATTAGGGATTGGGGGGAGCGTAGAAACTGGAGCATTTTCTAGTCATTTTAACTTCAACTTATAGTCGACACACTTAAAAAGTATAAAAAGTCTTCAAGAGATCAATTTTGTCAACAAATATTAATTTTGGGTCAACTGACCTCCTGAACCTCTTTTAAATCTCTTAAATCTCTCCTAAATCCACCCCTGCACTCAAAGCAACCATACTAACATGAAAAATCATAATAATTATTTTCCTGAATTTTATTAAAACTATGTTATTCTTATCTTAATCTTGAAATATTGTTAACATGATTTAATAGAACTAGGTATAAACCGCTATATATTTTTGTTCACTTGATCAAAATCGAACAAATATAAATACTCTGAAAAACTGAGATTGTTGTTAAGTGAAAGTTTAAAGTGTTGTTAAGGGCCACTACACGAACATAATGATAATTCGATAATATTGGCTTTAGAAAAATATTAAAAAAAAAAAATTTAATATTTTTAGTAGAGTTCGAGCAAAGCGAAAAAAGAAACATTTTTAGTAGGTATTTATTGAATCTAACTCCAATATTATGTTGTTTAGGAACCCATTGTACATTTTTTGTCAGAGGCCCAATCATGAGCCACACCAACACTGAATGTAGACAAAAAATTAAAATTAAATATCATAGATCGGAAAGTTACCAAATATTTTTATAAGCATCAGAAAATTGAGTTTTGACGGATTCAGATAGGTATTTCTATACATTTTGATTTAATGATAGGTACTATTTTTTTGAATAGTTATTCAAAAAATATTAATCTTGGTGACTTAAAAAATTTACTGTAAGTAATAGTGTACTTATAATAGTGTTTTGTAGAAACATTATTACAATTTTCATATTTTTATGAAATGTAGGCTATTTATAGGCGTTTTATGCTTAGAATCGTTTTTTCAAATCAATAACATCTACGTTTATTTAAAATCTATAAGAGCAATTCATCTGTATTAATGTTATTTTTCTGTATCTCACCTAACCACTATTTCTAGACCTTTTTAAATTGTATACTTGTATATTGTATGCATATTTTTGTATTCAGTTCAAGAGAATACACATACACATTATTATATTATACATACATTAGACAAAATTCCTTTGGCATATCATAATACTCGAAAATTATATAAGTGAATAAAACACGCACAAAAGGGTATGCATCGTGTTGCTATATATATATATCTATGTAATATCCCGAAGGATCTTCCAATTTGTACGTGACAGTCAATGTAAAATCTGTTCGTCAATCGCGGTTTACAATTAATTTATATACTGTATTATGGATGAGAAAGACCAAGTCACTTAAAATATCATTTAGTCTAATCAATCATAATTAAGTTATATTTTGTATCGCTATATTATGTGTTCTATTTTAATCGGGATAAATATGATCATTTCAAAATTTTATTTGTATTTTTCATTGGATTTAAATTACATTTATTTTTTAATACTTTTATTTAAAGAAGAATATACACAATCGATGCTATATGATGCACAATAAGTAAATATGATAAAATTGAACAGATGAATATCAAGGAAATGACGGAGGTGAGAGACCATCTAGTGATGTAAGCCTCTAATGACGATTTATTTTATAATATATATTACATTTGGAAGAAACCAACATTTTAAAGGTTTAGAATATTGAGTAATAATTTATTATTTAATTATTTTATAAAAAATCAAAACATCACATTAAAATTTGTTCACGGTATTAGGGTTGGTTAAAAATTATTTGTAGGAAACTACTATACTTGGGTGTGTTTGTAGTAGGGGTCTCGTTTTTGTACGTGAATATGAATGTACGTGTTCACGTATACCGTGATCATCTGAATGAATCAAAATAAATCACGTATGGTTAATTCACGGCAATCAACGAAAGCTTAATCACGTGAGCACGTATCTGAATCATATTCACGTGATCACGTGAATTAGTATATTCACGTGAATTGGCATTAATCAAAAATATGATTGTATAAAAAATAGTTATTTAAAAAACAAAAAGAGTTTGTTAATTTTGTTAATGATACCTACATGGTGGTCATATATTGCATTACAAAAACCGATTTTGGGTACTGTTTATTTTGTTGTATTTTATTTGAAAATATATTTATAATTTTATTGATTAGCTTCATTATCTTTTATTGAACTCTGTAGTGCCCGTCGCGTGTGACTTATCTAGTTGTTGGATAAGTAGTGGTGTGCCGGGAAATCTTCATGTGCTCGTAGTAATTCACGGCGTCCGGTTGTGAAAATAGAACTCACACACTGACACCCAAGGTTTATAGATAGTAAAGGTTACCTCATAATCATGTGTTTACATTCAAAACTACCGCTTCCCCTTTGTCAAGTGACGTCATCATCGTACAAATACTGTTACGAGCCTGGCCATAATATTATTTTACTATTAGTGCAGTATAGTAATTACTAATTTCTAATTATATATTCTGATCTGAAATTGTATTGTTAAAATAACGTATTACAATATCTATAAATAATATTGTACTTATTGTTAATATTACTATATAATGTTAATAATATGATATAATTTTATTAAAATCTGTCTAATTTAGTAGTTATACGAATGAGATTTTAACCCGCATGCAGTATACATCTCATAACCAGACCCTATTTTTATGTGCACCCCGACACACAATGTGCACCACGAATGTACAAGTATGCACTACGGTT